ACATAAGTACAATGGTGCTTGCCTATAGTTAGGGTTGCGGGACCTCAGTGGAGTTAAAGACCAAGGAAGGGTTATTTGGAAAAAGCAGGCCCTCACCCAGGTGGCCAACTCCAGAGCCCACAGACATGGCTACAGACAAGAAAATGGTGCATGGAGGTTGGCCTTACTGAGGATTATGAAGCAGTTCCGTAACTTCTCTCAAATTCAATCTCAGCTATAGCCCAGAAGTGGTCCTTCCCATCAAGAGACTTGCAGGAAGACACACCCAGTCATGGCCCTAGAGACAGGCCTGCAGATCCTGGCCTCAGTTGTGCTCCTTGAAGCAGCCCTATGACTCACTTCAAGTCATTTGTAGTCACAGTCCGTGGCCACTCATACACACTCAGAGGCCCACAGAGACCTGCAAAAACTGTTTCCAGGGACCGCGTACGGTGGCTCAAGCCTGTAATCCCAGCACTTTGCGAGGCTGAGGTGGGTGGATCAGGAGGTCAGGAGATCAAGACCAGCCTGGCTAACATGGTGAAACCCCGTCTCTACTAAAAATACAAAAAATTAGCCAGGCGTACCAGGCGCAGTGGCTCACACCTGTAATCCCAGAACTTTGGGAGGTCAAGGCGGGTGGATCACGAGATCAGGAGATCGAGACCACAGTGAAATCCTGTCTCTACTAAAAATACAAAAAAGCAGCCCGGCGCGGTGGCGGGTGCCTGTAGTCCCGGCTACCCCGGAGGCTGAGACAGAAAGGCGTGAACCCGGGAGGCAGAGCTTGCAGTGAGCTGATACTGCGCCACTGCACTGCAGCCTGGGTGACAGAGTGAGACTCCATCTCAAAAGAAAAAAAAAAAATTAGCCAGGCATGGTGGTTTGCACCTGTAGTCCCAGCTACTCAGGAGGCTGAGGCAGGAGAATCGCTTGAATCCAGGAGGCAGAGGTTGCAGTGAGTCAAGTTCACGCCACTGCACTCCAGCCTGGGGGACAAAACAAGACTCCGTCACAAAAAAAAAAAAACAGAAAATCATCTAAGAATCTCCTTTCCCCAAGTCACACAGCTCCAAGTGCGAGACTACAGCGCCGCCACCACGCCCGCTGTTTTTTGTATTTTTAGTAGAGATGGGGTTTCACCATGTTAGCCAGGATAGTCTCGATCTCCTGACCTCGTGATCCACCCGCCTCGCCTCCAAAGTGCTGGATTACAGGCTTGAGCCACTGCGCCTGGCCTGATACAAACTTCTGGTAATAGTTAAGATAGAAGCGTGGTCCTGGAGGCATGCTTGCAGATCTTGGCTTCGAGCTGTGGTCCCTGGAAGCAGCCTGTCTATACTATTTATTTTATTTTATTTTATTTATTTATTTTTTTTTTGACGGCGAGTTCGTCTTCGCCCCGGCATGAGTGCCGACGGATCTCAGCCACTGCAAGCTCCGCCTGCCGGGTTTCCGCCATTCATCCTGCCTCAGCCTCCGCGAGTAGCTGGGACTACAGGCGGCCCGCCATCTCGCCCGGTAGTTTTTGTATTTTTAGTAGAGACGGGTTTCACGGTGTTCGCAGGATGGTTCTCGCTATCTCCATGACCTCGTGATCCGCCGTCTCGGGCCTTCCCAAAGTTGGCTGGGATTACAGGGCTTAAGCCAC